ATTATGTATTGTTATATCGTAACGCACATGTAAACGTTTAATATTTCATAATACACGTTCGGCGAGTTCGGCGTAAACGGTACGCCGTCGATTTGCTCCGGTACCGACTGCCAAGGTAAGAGGTATATATATTTGTGGTAATAAACGTGAATTTATTACCCAGTTACGTTTGCAGTTTTACTGAAACGCGGAGATGTGTGTGCTCGGAACGGCGACATTACCGCCGGCTGCTTCTCCCTACGTATCTACTCGGCCTTTTGTATACTTGAATATTAAGCATACATAGGTATTATATATTTATTTGTTAATTATATTCTGTAATGAGTCTACTTCACAATACATTTTTCAGGACAATACATCCTGTTACACGATCATCCATCATCATCCATTTACACGACAATCGAATAAAATTATTCTATTGCTAATTTGTGCCTAAAATTATTTTTATTTTTATTTTGTATTAATTTATTATTAAATGTCAAATTAGTTATTAATTAGGTACATAGTAACGTATTTTTTAGGAGCAAGAGTGTAAACTTGCATTATATAATATTAATTAAGCATATTTGTATGAATGGTGATCAGTAAAATTGTTAAAAATTTTATACAAATTATATTTTTTTTTGCACACAAACCTCCAGGTATATATAACATATCATCATCATCATATCAGCCTTTAACTGCCTACTGATGAACTGCTGCCTCTCTCTTGGGGGGTTTGCTACTAGTTGCCACGCTTGACAGGCAGATTGGCAACCCTAGTTAGGCTTTGGAGATGTTTTAAGACGCTGCTGTCCATCCCTCGCCCTGCCTTAGTCGTCTTTTACCGTCTCCCACCTCAAGAAAGGAAGGGGTGGCCATTCTATGCTGGGATCACACGACAAACACATAAAACAGTCAAACTCATGAATACAAATTTTTTAATTGTATGAGATTCGAACTGGCAACTGGCAATGAGAGATGCAATGTGTTTTCAACCAATCCTCTAAGTTAACGTTCACCACGATTAGCAAAATGTTTACGCTAAGCATTACTTCCTTCGATATTAGTGGTAATAAGTGTGTATCTCGTGTCGCCGACATCAGAACTAAGGAGTGCGAATGTTCACGAACAGAAGAAAAGGGGCATAAACATTCAGGGCACGTCCGCGGCTCGGGCTGCAGTTAAAAGGGGATTATGAGCAGAGTGGCCAATAACACGGCATTACGTGCGATACGCGCCGGGCGGCCAGCTCGGGTAAGGAGCCATGTCGATAACCCACATAAAATAACGTTTTGTTTTGGCCATGCAACGTGTCGATATGTAGACAGATGTAGATTAGGTAGGTATTTCTTTATAAAATATTCTAATGAGTATGCGGTTTAAATGATGGTAAATGAATACCGCCGTCCTTGAGCAACATCAGAGGAATTGCAGGTGTGTCACCAGCTATTTAGGAAAGAATATGCTCAAATTACATATACTCCTTTTATATTCAGAGGGAGACTTTGTACAAAAGTCGATTGCTTGGGTACCTCTGTCCCATTCGTGTTTTAACCGTGAAGCAGTTGTGTTTGCATGGCTGTGTTTTGGTTTGAAGGGTGGGATATGGCGTGAATTTACTGGGTATAGAGGAGTCGTGGAGAGGGGTATCATGGGCGAAACAGTATACTTTGTTATGTCCATGGTACTGCTCATGTCTACAGGCGACGGTTATCACTTTCCATCAGGTAGGCCGTCAGCTTGTTTGCCATTCTAAGTTGTATAAAAAAAATATAATTTGCACTTCATATTTTCTAGCTATTCAAAGATCTTAAGTAAATGGTGGGTACGAATGTAAATAAAAAGTTATGGTCTAAACAATTATTTTAATACTAGAAATATTGGAGTAGAAATCTCACCATAGGAAAAATAGAAATTATCTCATAACGATATAAACGAAATTTGAATATTAAATCTTTAATAATTTCCCCATTACACGATTATACTTAAAAACTTTGATGAAAATCAAAATCAAAAATTATGATATCAAAATAAAATTGGTAACCAGTCGCACGGTAAATTCAATCAGCGCTTAACGAAAGTGAAGCGTCACCCACAATTTCTGTTATTGGAAACAGTTTTACAAGCAATAAATTTGTGCACCCGCGTCACTGGTACAACATTTATTAGCTACAATCCAGATTAGATTAGCATTGCATCCCTAGGCGGGGGCCCTCGGGACGTGAAATTTGTCCCAGTAATGTGGCCACGCGCCGAACTAATTCGATGTAGTTGGAGTGTCGGACCCTTCTATGTGACTTGAATGTCGGTCGCCATTGTTTCATTTTAATTGAATAGTTCGCGCGGGGTGACGTTGTTTTCCTAGAGATAACTTTATAGCCGCTTTGCATAATTGCGGAGCGAGTCGCTCTAATTTGCTACAATTTCGCAATCTGTCACGCTCTGTATAGTGATTCGAGACATTAAAACTATTGATAATTGAATCTTGAACTATTTTTTTGTTTCCTAATTTACTCAACAAAAATACAGAGTTATAAGTTGTGAAATACAAATATGTACAGATTTTTTTGTAAAGGAGCTCTTTAATATATTACAGTTATTGCATTTAAGCTTCAAAATATAAGAATGTTTTAAAATAAGTATTTACATATATATAGTTAGACGACTTCATAAACAAAGAGCATTAATAACGGTCCGTATTTGATGTAGGTGAATGAAGTTATTTTATAAATTTTAAAAATTAAAAATTTTGACTATGCAAAATAAATAAAATCACACCTATTCTTCAGTAGTATAACATTTAGGTAATCACGTTTCCCTCTTATCTACTTACAAGTACTCATATAAGTATTTGATAGATCACTGAATTCTAAAAACACCTACTTAATTTTTAATTTTGCGCCACTTATAACTTGAGCTATATTAGTATGAATATCTACTTACAAACAATATTCTAAATATAAATTAATCTATAACCTTAAAAATAAAAAACGAAACTGTTTCTACAAATACAGAGAAAGCTTGCCTGTACTTTGCGACTAGTAGTGCCATCTAACGACGTATTGTGAAACAAATGTGACAACTTTGAAGATTGCAATTGAAGGACCTCGGTTTTTACAGTACTTTCTATAATATTTAACTACACAAACACCATTAAGTAAATATGTAATTATTATCTAAAATAAAATTAAAAAGTATCTAAAACGAGAGATGACATAAACAAGGAAGACCGGGCGAATGTTATAAAAATGTCGACAAATATGGAGTAAACACCGTATTCGCTGTCAGCGATTTGGTCTTCAGAAGGTATATACGTATTTTAATGATAATTCTCACAATAATTTTACCAAAGGGATATTTAATATAAAAGTCACTTGTTCACTGTCTGACTCGTGTTGCTGCCGCGTAGTAGCTATTCATCTATGGCTGTGGTTGCTTTAAAGGGCAGGATACGGCAATGAAATTACAGAATACCCATACATAACAACTTAGACCTCATGAACACTTACGTCACAGTATTCTATGAAGTCTTTGTTGTTCGTGCCTATAAGCGACGGTTACCACATTCTATTAGATGAACTGTTAGCTTGTTTACCATTCCATGTTGTATATAAAAAATGATATAGTAATCTGTAATCTTCGTTGCAGAAAAATGGCAAATCAAGTTTTTTGTGGAGATCATAGATAACATTTTGATTCAAGATAAAATTTAATATATAATTGGATTAATACTTAAACTTTTCTGTTACCATTTCGTTTCATTAAAGATGGATCATCAAAAACAAAAATCTACAATAGTAAGGTAATAAATTAGTTATGTATACTTACGTATCTATATTTTTTTAATCTGTTTATGTCAGACTATGACTATAGTCTCAAGTCTAGTATAATTTAATTTATAAATCAATTAACTTAAGAGATAACATTATACTTACTATCATTGGATTCAAATGTGCTCGAAAGAATATGAAAAATTTGAGATTAGGTTAACAGGGACAATAGTCGACTTATTATTTCAGAAAATTACTTGAAAACATTTATTTTATTTATTTAACTGAAACTAGTACTATTTATGTTTTGATCTGCTAGACTATTGTTAACAGATTCTGTTTAGTAACAGGATGTTTAAGTCACTCTGATCAGTCTGAGGATTCAATAAAATTGGCCAATTCGTCTCGTTTACTACGATAGAGAGCTCTAGGTAAATGAACAAATCTATTATCAACGCATCTTGTGCATTCGTCGAATCTCTTAAACTATTCAAATTTATTATTGTTCCTACATTAGCAGAAAGATTAGTTTAGGTACATAAAATATTATGTCCAATTCTTAGTTTGAAATAAAGGATAATTTCTTATTCAGTTAAGAGTACTTGAAATTATAAGTTACTTAATTAATTTTATCAAATAGTTAAATTGGTTTGAATCATAATTCATTATTTCGACCATTAATTGTCCAATGTTACTCAGCACTATAAATAGGCCTTCCTCTGTAGTGCTATTAATGTCCCATAATCCAGCGAATGGTCTTCAGATACTTATTTCTCTTATTATTTTACGACTCTCGTAATAATTATTACAGTTACGAGGTTGTTACTCCATCTAGTGGCAGTCACCCTACACTACAATTTCATTGTTTCTCACTTGTTTATACTTACTATTCTGCAACCACAATGATAATCCAGAGCGTTAAGACAAATTACTTACACATTAATGAAATTTTAAGCAGGAAATTTTTAATTAGTAAGGCATTGGTATGCGGATAATTGATAATGAAATTTTGGCATGCTGTTAATATATTTTATATCTACTACCTTGTCAAAATTGTATGATTTCGATGTAGGTACATTTATGTATTTATTAAGGCTCCTTTTTGTTGTACCTTAAAAGTTACTATAAATAATATTACAAAATAGAAGGGTATATTATGTGTTGTATGCCAAAATGTATTTATCTTTTTAATACGTAAAAGAGATAACGAAGCAGATATCTTAGAATAAAAAATCAAACAAAAGAAAATATGTTAACAAACATTTAATTTGTTTATTCTTTAGCAATATATTATCTATAATAACTATAATTTAACTACAAAGTAACTATGTAGGTACTCCTAATTGTCCGTTGCATCTTATCCACAAATATGGAATTCACAATAAACACAGACAGCGAATAGGTAGGTACAATTCCTACAATTTACTTAAGTCTACATCTAAACAAACTATACCTACACGCGTAAGTTCTCTAAAACAATTTTGCTTTTCTGTTATATTGCACAATTTACCTGAAAAAGCGGAAATCAGGTGCGACCGACAGCCAACTTATACAAAAGGAACCGTGAGGTTCATACAAAACAAACATAAAAAACTACCAAATGCTTCCGTTCAATGTATTTAATTCTAATACACTAGAGCTATAACATGAAGTTCTTGAAACCATCACTACGATATAATACTTTTAGGAACATAATTAAAGATATATATAACAATATAATTACAAGTTTAAATTATAATTAAATATGTATAGTACAATATGTTACAAATGTCGTCTCCATTTCAACTAGACTTCTCCAACTTGAGGCAATTTAATTGTCCCATGGCGCAAGAGCCACGACTTATGTCGAGTCGAGCACCGACGGCGGTATTGTTTACAATTCCAAGCGGTTATCAAGTGAGCCACATTGCATCTTGCATTTTTTCACAGAGTACACACCATAAAGAGTACTGTCGGGTGTAGGGGGACCTCGGGGAGGTTTTTATTTACTGCTATGTTACTAAGTGGGGCTGTGTGGGGGGTGCGGTGTGTGGGGCGTATGCGGTGTTTGGGGGGTGAGTGGCGGCGGGTGCGGACTCGCGTCACGGAGCGAGTCTGGCGAGGAGCCGGGAGACGAGCGTCGCGGCGGATGCGGCGGATATGGGGAGAATCGGTGCTGGGTTGTCGCCGGCAGTGCACCGGGGTACAGCGGCCGAGGCAGCTGCAGCCCCGACCCAGACGCCGCTAGATGCTGCTGTGCTAGTAACTGCGGGGCCAAGCATGCCCACTGGCCCCACAACGCTGCAGCTGGCACCCCGTACAGAGGATACGCGGCCCGTAGAAACAGCTGTGACCGCGCAGCCAATATCGCCTTCTCCTCTAACGTCAGATTATTGTTGTGTTGGTCGAGATCGAACGGCCGAAGAGGTGACCTCAAATAATGTTGCTCCGCAAGCATCGACTCCATCGTTTCTCTGAAACAGTAAACAACAAATTATCAGATCTTCAGTTAACGGTTACGTATATTAAATGAATATCCAAAATGATATTTATCTACCTATGATTAGCAGCGCTGAAGCGCACGTCATCGGGGTAGGAGGATGTTCCATCATGCTGCCCCGTGACGTAGAATCTCAAGAAAGAAACAAATAAATTCAAAATAAAACATATGCATTAAAGTGAGTGGCAATAAAACGATGGCATGGAATAATAGAAGCGAATAATGATACACAAGTTTTATAAAGCGAATGTATAATGTGTAAGTGAAAACGATGGATTATAAATTACACGGTTAGAAATGCTACATTGATGTGTGTCTATAATTAAACCTATGCCATTGGCTAAGTAGTAATAAATAAAGGTAAATTGAGCACACGGTATCAATCAGTAAACATATCGTATCGTTATTTGTGTCTATAACATTTATCAAAATTATGTCTTTCTCTAAACTTATATTAGATTTTTTGTGGGTTAGGCAGAGGAAATCGATTACGTACCAAAGATCTTTTTATTTTTACATACATTTCTTTCTCCATCTAGTTTTATAAGTATCAGCTTTTGTAATTACCTACTAATGCTATTTGTACCTAGTATAGTTATGTAATATTCTATTTAATTCGATTTTGTTACATTTATGCCTACGTGTTTGTTATATTTACAAGTGCCATAAAAACAGTCACAGAAGAATCTCATTAGAATAGTTACCTTTCAAATTCAGTGAGACGTGAAGAGTCACGGAAACCCTTCGCGAATGGATTACTGTCGATTTTCAGTTTTGTGATCTGAAACAAAAGAAACAAATTTACTTTAAGACATTGAAGAATTTTAATTTAATGTTTACAAATAAAACTCACATGTCATAGAAGTTAATTGAATATTTGCATGTGGTGAAACATTGATGACAATAAAATGTCGATAGTATCAGCGTACTGTTTATCAGATTTCCAATAAAACTGTGTTTGTTTTCATTGAAATATATATTTTATTATAATTATTATTTAATTATTCTGTAAGTTTGATTGAAAGCAATCATTTTATTAAAGCAATTAATACAAAAATTATTGTGTTAAAATCGTCAGGAAAATACAAACTCGGCGATTGGGTGCTTATTATTTCATGGTCCGACATTCATTGAAAGGCCTCGAATAAATAAATGTACTCTATTAATTCAATATTCAAAAGTAATTATACAACAACTGTATTATCACAAATTATTTCATAACCATAAGCACTATAAGCACCTACAATAAAACAGTTTAAAATATTAAATTAAAATTCAACTTCTGATTATTACATAATATTATTAGATATTTATTTAATTTCATTATTAAAAGTATTACGTGGTCACTATTTTAAATAATGTTTAAAGTCATTATATTATTATTACATTGTGTAATGGATGGATACATTATCCATTGCTATATATATGAAATTATGCTACGTTCCTGTACGAACACATCAGCCGAGGCCCGAGGCCCGAGGCCCGAGAGCGAGCGCCACCCGCCGCGCGGGGCACACTACTAATAAGGTTAAGTTATTGATGACATTCCACATCGGTTTATCACTTTAGATACAGTAGTATAATGCCTTCTTCAGCCGTATATTAGACTACAGACCAATACAAATTAATTTTCAATGTAAATAAAATTATAATATTTACAATTTTTACTTTTTATTTCTAAATGAGCTGCAAGAGTTTGACCTTGAAATTATACGCGTGTTTCTTTAAGCAATATTAAAAACATTACTAAAATGCAATGAATTGAGTCGATGCACTCATAAAACAAATATATGATTTAAATGCGGTCCGAGGTGTTAAAAATGTGTTTGGTAGAGTAGAGGCAGCGTCGATGAAAAATCGCCCCCTCGCTGAGTGGCGGCGCTCCCGCTGTGGCTCCACACAATTTGTAAATAATATTTACGATAAAACCTTCCTCGGAAACCTGTCACCATTTAATAGCGCCTGCACGCCTAATATTCGAACGGATTAAACCCATATTTATACTAATTTTAGCATTTTTAAGAATTTTACGGTACGGTGATGCGAAATAAACATATTATTTGATGAGTAATTTTTAATAAACAAGTCATCAGGAAGCTGTTTAGAGTTGTGTAGTTTATGTCAATCTTTCAGCACGTCCAGCCGCTGACGGTAATTACCTGGCGACAGAGATGGACCTCGTCTACTCAGTTTCATTTAGCACACCTACGTAGGCCGTGCCCTAGTTAATTGCACTTTTCTTGACAAGTTCACGCTAAGAATGTGTAATATATTATTGAATTTTAGTACAACGATCTGCTCAGTTAAATAGCATATAAAAATTACTAATTTGACACAGAATCTCGATTCGTAATAAGTGTTTTATTATTTCCGAATTGCAACGTACTGATATATATGACAGAAGCTTTTCTTACTAATGAGAAAAATGTCATGCATTATTTAATATGAGTAGATGTTCTCACTGAACTATTTCCAGACATTCAGCTCTCGTGACAATTAACTTCTTAATTTTTGTTAGAGATATTTATGAATTTGTTTGATGTGCTCGGTCGGAGGTGCGTTAATCTATGAAACGTCTTGAGAAACGTCCCGAATCCCATTGTGTCGGATCAAAGGAATATAATAAACAATACAATATATTGACCCCGGCTGTGACAAGTCTTCGGTTTGCGGTGAGTAATTTTATAAGCAACGTTCCTAATGACTTCGAAAATAGGTATATGGATCGAAGCAAGCATTATGAACTCTCCTACTGCTCGTGGTACGTTTAGGCAACATACGTTTGTTTTTTTTTAATATGTTATTGGAAATAAAAAGTTTAAAAGAGCGATAGAGAATGATTGAGTAAAATATCGTATAATAAGGAATATATTCGTATATGGGATTGAAAAAAGCTTTCGAATAATCATATGATCATCGAATGTAAATTATACACTTTCAATTGACATACATTAAACATGCATTTCTATATCTTAAGTATTATATCATTGTATATGTAATAGGTTACTAAAATAATAGAAAATTAATTATTAAAATATATTTTGCTTGACAAAAATTTTCCAACGTATCAATTATGATTTTAATTATTGTCTTTGTTATTCCAAATATCTGACAGTTGGTTACAGTAAAAACTTTTCAAATGATACAATACGTATAATATAATATTTCGTATGTTGTAACATTATCTATATTTATAAGTAAAAACTATTGTTCCTATCTGCCTACTATAAAAATTATGCCGAAATTTCAGAGACGAACGAAACAAGTTGGTGTTATTAAAATAATGAAAAAAAAAAAAGGTTTTTATGGTAAACTCACTGGAGCCACAGTGTCCGCCTGAATGAGTAGTTAGAAAAAGGAGTTATTGTCATAATGTGAGTAAATAAAAGGTATTCCTAGGGGAGGTACAGACGCGGTGCATAGTGTCGAGGGTCACCGTTACGTCGCCGTCGTGTCGTGGCAGCTACTTACGCTTGCACACCCACCTGGCGAGCGCCATTGACTACAATGGCCGCGCTCTCGCTCGTCGCGCCTGCGCCTGACGTAATGAGTGCGCCTACAATGCCACTAGTAGCTGACAATATTGACGTATTATACATTATTTATATTATCCTCTTGTATAGCTCGCGATTGTTTTCATTATCTCATATTTATTTATTGCTGGCTGCGTCCCGCAGTTTTGTCTGTGTGATATACGAACCCCATCTTTTATTTAAAGAATAATATGATTTATATGTGTAGTACATTTCATTCAAATTTGCTAAGCAATTTATAAATATTCAATTATGTCAGATGATTATTCAATTATATCAATATCTAAACGTATAAGTATTAGCGTGGCTTTGCGTGTATAACAAATGTCATTCAAATCTGTTCATTTGTCAAGCGTGATTGCAACAAAATAATAAAACAGACAGACAATTCTAATAATTGCTGATTGTTGTGAATAAATACTGAATAATTTTATATTGAAAGAAAACCATCGAAGTCAAATTCCGTTTAACACTACCTATAACAAAAATTATCTTTAATGTTCCATACAAAATACATTTATAGCGGCGAACGCGAGCAGCAATAATGAACGAGCCGCTTTCCTGCTACCGACGTTTATTAGATTTAGTACAAACATAAGAACGAGGCGTGTCAAAACAACCTAATTTAAGTATCAACAAACGTTCGCCTTGGGCGGCGGCGCGCTTCGCTTACTGACAACATTAAAGGCGCCATAATGACATTATTCCCGGGCGGGAAACAAAAAAAAACTTCACAAAAAGGCGTCAAGGAGAGAGATGAGCGTCGCGCCGCGCCGCCCGCGCCCGCGCACCGCCCGCCGCAAACGATGCTCTAATTATTTGGGTGGTGATGTATTGTACAAGGAAGCATGTTGCCGGCACCATAACAGATACTCCGATTTCTGTAATAAAAACTTCTAGCAGATGGTAGTTGGAGATATGACAATGATAAATATTATCTAGACATGGGTAACTCGACGACTTTTTCTTGCGTCAACTCAGTAATTCAGGAGAACCCCACTGCGTTTGTTAATTCAAAATTGCACTACAGCACATAGTATAACTTGTATCGTTGTACACTATATTTTGACATGTCTCACAAAATGGACGACGAAAAAAAAAAGAAAACACATTTTCCTTACTCTATATTTTACTGCATTTACATACCTACCATTTCCCGGTACTGCACTGTGCGCCAACTCATTTTGAAGAAGTGAGATGACACATCCAGCGCAGTGAAACGAGTTGGTGCAATTGCGAGGCGGAGCGCATTATTACCCATGTCTAGATATCATCATATCAGCCGTTAACTGTTCCTTGCTGAACATAGGCCTTCCCCATTAGAGGTTTTGCTAGTAGCTACCATGCTCGGGTTAGTAACCGCAGTTAGGCTTTGATGATGTTTCAAGTAGAACGCTGCCGCTCATTCCTTGATCAGTTCCTTTAGTCGCCTCTTACGACATCCAAGGAAGAAATAGCCCATTCTATGCCGGGACCACACGGCTATAAATATTCATCTTTTATTATGAGTTCTAAAACAAATAATAACGAGAATAATATGTAAACAAACTACTCGTATAAAACTATTTTTATACGTTAAAATTTCTTAATAGAACAACACTGCGACCTGTCACTACTTTTTAGGTACCTAAAGTTACTGCCTTACAACATTAAAAAAATAATTCCATTAAATTATTGCCAAATTATTTTTTATACTGATATCATTTACTCCTTAGCACTTCTATAATTAAAAGCCATCTAACAATACCCTATTTATCAAAATCCTATTTAGGATACTTAAGATATATGCTTCGTCGAAATACGACGTATGTTTGATATATCCAAAAAACATTACCATTATTTCTCGCACAGTTAAAAACTATTTAAAATTCTGTTTCAATGTAAATTTTCTTAGCCATTATTAGAAAATATGAGGATATTAGTAGATAATGAGAATGATAGATAGAGTACAAGGGATTGCTAACTCGAATAACAGCTGCAGAAATATATTACAGGTACACATATGAGTCTAGGCTGGTCAGAATAGCACATCATTCATATAAAGAACCACCTTGAAGAAATTTAAAACACAAAATAAATTTATTCCGATAATGGTTAAACTTACATTATAAATTAAAAAGTAAAGATGTTTGATTGTCTGAATATTTAAATAATTTTAATACAATCACATTTAAACGGCTTAATAAGTAAAAATTAAATTTGTCTTAAATTAGCATTACAGGTTACTTTTCCACAATTTAGGCGAGCT